TACTTTAAATTTTTTGTTTATTCTGATTGTTTTGATTGTTTTGATTTCACGTTACACCTGATCTCGAAATCTGATTGACTGATTTTTAGAGGTGTTCTTGGGGTAGTTGATCTACCCATGATTGCCCGTGATAATTAGCCAATCAAATTATATAATTTTAAAACGTTTATCATTTTAATATAACTGATAATATAAGAAAAAAATGCATTTGTGGAGGTCATGTACAGTTAGACCTCTCTAAGTGTATGCCCTTGGGACCGCACTTTAATAACGTGCATATAGATAATAATAATAAGAAAAAATACATTGTGGAGGTCATGGATACCTCAACATATCATATATAGGATAGAAAGTTTGAAATGGTTAGAATTGGTTTAATACAATCAGACCTATAGTTGTTGGTAGATAACTAAATAAATGGCTAAGTATAATAGACATCCAAATATTCTTCAACTTTTCAGACATTTTCAAGATAATAATTACTTTGTTTTGATTCTCAAATATGCAGCCAAAGGATAACTTTATAAACAACTTGTAAAATCAGGCAGATTTAAAGAAAAAAAAGTATCAAGGGTTTGTTTATTTTGAATAAATCTAAAATATAAAATGTTTCAAATGAATTCATTTCTACTTATAAAATAGTTTATTGTACAAATTGCTGGAGCTTTAAGTTATATTCACCAAAAACACATTATTCATCGAGATATAAAACCAGAAAACTTGTTGATTAATTTGGATGCTGAGATCAAAATTGCAGATTTTGGCTGGTCTGTACATTCAAGTCAAAGGTATACTACAAAAAGTATTATACCATTTAACATTTAAAAGAATGTTAATTTTTATTTTAAATTTCAGACAAAAAACATTTTGTGATATATTGGATTATATTCTACCAGAAATGGTTGAAGGCAAAGAACATGATGAAAAGATTGATCTTTGGTCACTTGGTGTTTTGTGCTATGAACTCTTGACTGGTACCACATCATTTGAAGAATTTAGTCATACCAAAACATTTAAACAAATAGCAAATGTTGATTTCACACTTCCTGATCATTTGTCATTTGAGGCTTGTGACTTGATTAGTTCGGTAACTATCCTTTAAATACTTTTAAGTTTTTGACTAACAAAGTTAGCATAGTGTTGATTCTAAATACAAACATAGTTACTACAACGTGACCCGAAACAATGTCTATTTTTGAAAGATGTCTTAAAACATCCATAGATCCAAAAATACAAGAAAACTCGTGAATAAATAACTACTATATTTGTTAAAATTACTGCAAGTAGTTACATTTGTTAGCACCGTAATTACTTGTATAGATAAGAGCTGTAATATATAGATATGTCTCTGAAATATTTAAAACCAATAAAGAATTCAGAGCTTTTTAAAGCCATAAAAATTTGATAAAAAAATAGAACAATAAAAAAATTCAAACCAAATTAATTTTTTATCAACTATGAAAGAAGAAATAGAAATTAAATTGGAACATAACTTTTACATTGTCATTTTACTTTGAATTCGATTATCTATTCACTTTTTTTAAATCTAACAGTATGAAATTACTGTCAAAAACCTAACCACAGCATCCAAACTCCATGTATGCTAGCAAAATTATCAATACTCAGGATGTAAAAAATAAATATCTTTTAGAAGATTCTAAACTATTTGTACTACAAATTTCCAATAATACAAATTATAATTCTTAAAGTTAATTAACAAGACAAAATTAGCTGCATGGTTGATTTCTCTAAAATATAATAATTTGATTTTGCAAAGTATATTTGTTAATATTTTTTGATTCAAGATTATTATAAAATAAATTAATTAATACTCTTTATTCTTTTGTTTTTTTTAATATTAAAAAATTAGTATTTTACAAAAAAATACTATAATATCCTATTATATAATACTCTTATTTTATATGTAAAATTATTTTTATACTGTATGTTAGAGTTAGATATTTTATATAATAATATTTTGTAAAAAAAATTTTTTTAGAATATCAAAAACTGTTTTATAAACAAAATTTTCAGCTATAACATTTTTATGATGGAATTTTTTGCATGATTAGAATTAATGCTAAGTTATATTAATAACTAAACCCAAAAGATGTAATGTTAATTTTTTTCTTTGTTAAAATAATCAAAATTTGAACTCACTGGCTGTTTCTTTTTTGGAAGTTTAAAGTAGATTAATTAAAGATTTTTGCATTCGCTAAAATAAATAAATAAAAAATGTTCATATCTGTACCAAATTTTTGTGCTTGTGCCTATGCCCGTACCAAATTCTTATACTTGTAACCATGCATAAGCCAAATTTTTATGTCTACGCCCATGCCCATATCAAATCTTTATGCGTACATACCAAATTTTTTATATAACAAAGTATCAACTTTATTCTCTTGGCTCTAGCTATACGTGTTTTAAAAAACTATATTTTTGATACATTCAATATTAAAAATTAAAAAAAGTTACTTTGAACTTTCTATAACAAACATGTGACAGAAAGTTTAAAGTTACTGTTTCTCTCCGGAGTTTGATAAAGAAAATATTTTGGGTGTAATATCTGAAGGATTTACTTTTTCAAAGTTTTTTAAGTTTTAACTAACTTTGTAGTTAAATTATCTTAATGAGAAATTTTATTATGTAAATTTTTTGTTAAGAAGCTTTTAAAACAATAAGGATTATATATTTCACACCTCAAAGATAGCTAAAAAATGCTTTTCATTTCGGAGAAGGGTGTGATTGATAGCCTTGTACTCCACAATCAACTTCATATAGTCCTGAACCCGCAATATTATTATAATCTTTTAACAGTTTTTCTCCTATTTTTCATAGTCATGAATAATATCAAATAATGCACATCTGATTGCCTATAAAGCCTGAATAAATGGCTTAAATTCTTCTATCACCACTTTCTTATACAGAATATCTAAATCAAATACTTCTCTTACGTGACATAAAGGGTGTGCTGGACAATCTAAGATGAGAACTTTGAGCTTCGCTTCTAAAATAAATATGTTTAATAACACTATAGAATTAAACTAATAGAGACAAGATTCGATACTAGAATATATAAAGCTTAACTTACTATAAGCTTGGAACAACAACAATTCAGCTTTACGAATATCATTACAGATGTTCTTCCAATCAGACAAATATATGTATTTCTTCTCAATAAGTTTATCAAGCATTTTATTTTTTAAATCATGTCCAAAACGTATTAATTTACATTTATCATTATACACCTTTTTAGTAGTGCAGGTAGCCTGAAAAGGTGACTCTGATGTTTTAGCAAATACAATTTCATGGAGATTTTTTGCAATCATCATTTCAATCCAGATATCTGCCTTCTTTGATTGTGAAGACGTAAGAAACGGTGCCATTATTCGTTCTAACTGTTCACAGGTTTCCTTCTCAAATTTTATATTTTCAGTCTTCCGATATTTTGATGCACTTGATGTACTTTCTCCCCTAAATTAGTTCAAACACAAAAAAAAATACAGAAACAATATAATAAGTTAGATTATTAAACAATTGCAATAATTGCACATTTTTACATACTAGAGTAACACATATTTATCTAGACTTAACATCAAAATATCAAATAGTAAATGTAATATGAAATGCTCTCAGGTACCTTCATTAAACGTAGTAGTAAAATCTTTATTAAAATTATTGCTTCTCCATATTTCAAATCTGTAAAAAATTTATTCATTATAGAAATTAGAATGCAAAATGAAACATATAATATTCATTTTATTTATTTATTTACTTAACAGTTTGCAGCATGCTTTCTAAAGAAAATATTGTTCTATAAATAAAGAACTTGCATCATTAACTTTTGGAAATAATTTTTCACACACTTGTTGGTTTTCGTACAAGTATTCAAGATATTTTTCTGAAGTAGGATCCATGTCTCAATGGAATTTTATTGGTGGAGCCGTCATTGCAATTAGTGCTAGCTCGTCAAATGCATCTTTAATTTCTTTGGGTAGATTTGAAAAATCAATCACATATGATAATAAGGGATTATTATATTCTAGATTCATTATCATTTCCTCAGTAATACTATGACAAATTATTTTGACAACATCAATTTCTATATTATTTTTATCTGTGAATGTCCATTCTGAGGCATCTTTTTGATCCTATAAAGACCAAATATTAAATCAAAAATTGATACTATTATGGTCAATAATAATAAAGTACTAACACTGATGACCCTTATATTAGTAATAAATCTTTTCTGGTGAGATTTATCAAAGCTTGTCATCGGTATTAACTTATTTTCTAGGCCTTCAATATATTCCAAAGTACAAGATACAAGTTTTTTATCACCATTTTTTATCATATTTATGTAAGCTATGCGTGCATTTCTATTACCCTTTTTTCTATCCGTCTTGAATTCAATATAAAGAAATTATTAATTATTTGTATAAAATACAATTATATTGAAGAAATAAAATATTCTCAGAAACACATATTTTTTTAAAAGAGCGATATATCAAATCACAAAGCATGAGTCAAACCCACCCATATGTAAATGTTAGTTTTAACGAATTCTGCAGATAAATTTGGCAGCACGTTTGCTATCGACAAAAGTAAGATTAAGTAGGGGCAGCTCAGCACAAGAAAAAAATTTTTTGCTCCCACTTGTAAATCACTTTGCCAATATTGATTTGATTAGTTTAATATTTACTCATCATTGATATAATGATAAAATATTAAAATATAAAGTAAAAATAACCTTATGAGTTTCATCAAACTCTTTTTGATATGGTCTCCAGCATGCATCGTTTCGTAGTTTGTCAACTCTGAGAAAGAAATTATTTGTGCT